CAGCTTAATGTGGGAGGAAAGCCCGAAGTGATGCAGGTCCGAGATGTTTACCACTTTGGTGAAACCCACGAGCACGGGTATGGTGCTGACAAACCTAGAAACATAATCGGGGCGAACCGGGATTCGAACCCACAATCATAGGTTTCTGGTGTGGCCAAGGGACGCAACTCTGCACAGCGAATCGCGGCGCCTTAGACGACTGGGCCACCCGTGTCCCCTACAGAGGTTATATATCCACGTTGGTACATAACTCTACCGCCGCTGTTGACACAACGCGTTTAACGGCCTCTTTATAATCATGGTCATTGGCCGTGGAAGTCCATCTCTTTTTCAAATGGGCAGAAACCGCCATCGGTCGAAGACCTTGGGGATTTATCGAGTATAACAGCTTTAGATGAATGCGTAGTATATTGCAGGTCGGCATTTGGGAATAATTCTTGAATGTAATGAACATGATAAATGAAGGATTACAGTTTATCGACTTTACTTAATGATACTAACAGTACGAGACATAGTAGCTCGAAGTGCGTATACATCTGAAGTTATCAAGTATAGGCTTGTGCTGTAACATTTTGCCTTCTGTCCGTATACAGCTAATAGCGGCGTAAATTACATACGCCAAGGAAGACATGGATCAACTACTAAGGTCCACGGAGGGTTGACCTTGTGGGTAAAGTGTTGGCTTGCCATGCCGGAGTTCGCTTTTGAATCCCCATGGGCACAATGTGAGAGGCCAATTTCTGTTGTCCCCCTCTCGTGGTATTGTTGGGTTATTACAAATAAGCGGCGATAAATCCCTCTCTTATGAAAATTAACACCAGGTGTTCGCGAATTGGATATTACCTGGACACTGGTTAATGCGACGAGATGATTAGACAGGTGGAACCAGAACTTATGTAGGGTGATGGTGCTGATATTCTGAGTCGAATGTCTTAACACCGTTCACAGAATATCGCTCAGAAGACATGTGGATTCAAATGCTCCTGTAGCATTAGAAGTACTGGTCGAGCAACAGTAATGTCATAATTAACTTTTGCATTCATCTCATCTTCATCACACGCCCATCTACTACTCTATCGACCATTCATCTCATCTTCTCAACCTTTATTAACACGCCCATCTACTACTCTATCGACCATTCATCTCATCTTCACAACCTTTATCAACACGCCCATCTACTACTCTATCGACCATTCATCTCATCTTCACAACCTTTATCAACACGCCCATCTGCTACTCTATCGACCATACATCTCATCTTCCCAACCTTTATCAACACGCCCATCTACTACTCTATCGACCATACATTTCATCTTCCCATCTTTATCAACACGCCCATCTACTACTCTATCGACCATACATCTCATCTTCCCAACCTTTATCAACACGCCCATCTACTACTCTATCGACCATACATCTCATCTTCCCAACCTTTATCAACACGCCCACCTACTACTCTATCGACCATACATCTCATCTTCCCAACCTTTATCAACACGCCCATCTACTACTCTATCGACCATACATCTCATCTTCCCATCTTTATCAACACGCCCATCTACTACTCTATCGACCATACATCTCATCTTCCCAACCTTTATCAACACGCCCACCTACTACTCTATCGACCATACATCTCATCTTCCCAACCTTTATCAACACGCCCACCTACTACTCTATCGACCATACATCTCATCTTCCCAACCTTTATCAACACGCCCACCTACTACTCTATCGACCATACATCTCATCTTCCCAACCTTTATCAACACGCCGATCTACTACTCTATCGACCATTCATCACAACCTGTCAACCTGACCACCTGCCACTCTATCCATCCCATACTTTCTCTATATTGCTATCAGTATATTCATTTAACATTTCGCATCCTCTCAGCATACCAATATCATCTTGACTTCCACCAATCACTCCACCACCCTTCATATCTGATCTTCTCAACATACCAATATCATCTTGACTTCCACCAATCACTCCACCACCCTTCATATCTGATCTTCTCAACATACCAATATCATCTTGACTTCCACCAATCACTCCACCACCCTTCATATCTGATCTTCTCAACATACCAATATCATCTTGACTTCCACCAATCACTCCACCACCCTTCATATCTGATCTTCTCAACATACCAATATCATCTTGACTTCCACCAATCACTCCACCACCCTTCATATCTGATCTTCTCAACATACCAATATCATCTTGACTTCCACCTACCACCCTACACATCTGATCTTCTCTACATACCTATATTATTATTATTATTATTATATTGCTTTATACATTTACATATCGGAGGTATCCAGGTACTAGTATCTTCTCAAATGCGGTTTTATTTGTTCCCAGACCAGTGTATATTTTGAGTGCACAGGATGTATTTACTATACACTAAAGGTAGTGACAACACTGTAAAGACCTGTAAACATTGTTGGTCCCATGGCTGAATAACAACCCGGTCACTAGCGGGATTCGAACTCAGCACCTGGTGCTTGCTAGACTGGCGCTTTTGACTGTCTGCTCGCTATCATCTAGACCACTCTATCACCCCTACATAGCTGATCCTCTCGCTACAGTCCTGTCATCCTATTGACCGCCATCTTCTCAACACATCAACACGCCCGCATCACACAAACTGACCTCCTAACTACACGCCCCCAGTGCTAAATTCGAAAGTGCATTACCTCCGACCGGCATACCACTGAGACAGACCCACCCACTACACAGCAGATTAATACACCCTTGTTCATTATTGCACACATTTACCCCTGGGTAAGTCGTCTACTTGCCACCATCTGATGGTCTCTGGGGTCCTGTTTAGTGAGCCTATTAGCTGGATATATTGTGTTAGGGACTCGTCCGAGTCTGAGTAGCGACAATTTCAACATGACACGAACAGCCGTATATATGCAGATCAAATCAGACCTCAGAAGACGACTTAAAGCTCAGATGTATCAATAGGAGAAACCGCGTACAATGCTGATTGGTGACGCGGCTCTGAAGCCACGTAAGGATTGTGCTTGCTGCATACATGCACATTGCATCAATCGTAATATCGACGGCTCATTTAGCTATGCTTTATCGTGTATTTTTCTTGAATACAATAGACCGCCACCGTGGTCTAGTGGTAGAGCGTCCGCCCGGAGAGCGGAACGTCCGGGGTTCGATCCCCGGCCCCGGCCGCGTCATACCAAAAGACTTTAAAAGATGGTACCTGTTGTTACCCTGTCTGGCGCTCGGCATTAAGGGGCTAAAACAAGGACTGGTCGGCTCGGTGTCAGTATACTGTGTCTGAGTGGGGTATTCATGTTAAACTGCGGCATGGTATCTCAGTGAGCTAGCACTATAAATCGGCATCAGTCCGGACTAGTACAAGCAGCCACACAAACACACACACGTACATGCACGTCGCTATATAAGTGCAATAATCTTGGACGCGACGTTAAACCCCATTTCACCTCACCTCACCTTGAATACAATAATCATAAAGTGTTTGTGTATTTACTTTCTATACGATAATAACGCCAGCATATTGATTCTGAGTGATTGTTTAGTGTTCATTTCTGTTACAATCTGGAATATTCTAACTATATCACGACGGCCTATATCACTGTCTCATAAATAAATAAGGAGTCAGACGAACCACTGGTTGATAGCATGAGCAAAGTTCGATGACATACATTCAGCCGAGTAATACGTTATATCATTTCTCGTATGAAATCTAACTATCTGATTGGCCAGTCGTTGTTTTGCAAATACAGATAAAAGTTCGTCGGCCCGGTAGGACATCATGACGTTATAGTGCTTCATATGACGTCATCTTCTCGTCACGTCAATATTGTGACTCAAACATATTTCACAGAAAGGAAGTTGCTTGACATCCCCTTGGGGACGAATTGTGCGCATCTTCTTGCTAATCGGTTTCTTAATGAATCGGAATTTCTTCTCGGATTGGCAACATCAAAGCAAAGGAATTTGATGATCTGATATCGTTCAATAATGGTCAATCAACCAATTTACCTAATTTACCCGCCTGAACAAGAAATAAAAGAGACTAGTGTAACGGCCTCATCTGTAAAAAAACCCCATTAAACTTGCTATAGTTACGGGTTATGATGTGGGTAAGATATGGGGCCACTCAAAAACATCCCATATAGCCACCACCAATATGGCCGCCATGGAGGAATGACACCTTAACATATTAAGAAAAATAAACATGTATTTACTCAACGGCGCATCTGTATAGAATATGATTGTGACAAAATATACATTTTTTTATTCTTCGGCATTTCTTTATGACTTATATCTACCAATATTTTATACTCATAGGGTCAAAAACAAAATACTCTAAGAACAGCATTTATTATTATTTATAGTATGGTATTAATAATATCAGTTTTGAAATATGCTGTACATCTTTGATGTTTTTGGGGTTGGTGAAAATTAAATACGATCACAGTCGCCACCACATTTGCAGAGTTGTGTATAAATGAACTGTGCCATTTGCAAGTCTTTGAAAGGCATTTAGAAGTGATGAAGAAGTAAGTACATACTCCGAAACGTTGTGTTTCTCATATAAAGAAGTTGACATCCATAAATTCTCTTCCTTATTTGCACCTTGCTCTCTAGCCTCTTTCTCAATCAGAACTACATATCAGAAGCTCTTGGCTTGACTTAGAAGCTTGTGGTAGTGCAGTCCACAAAGGTGTCACAGCCATGTGCTACATATCTTACTAATCCCGCTCAGTTGGTGTGGGAGAATAAATACAGTTATTATGTGTCTCCTTTCAAAGAGTGCAGTGACAGAAAAATGTGCTTCACCCAGAGTATTGACCGGTCGGTGACCTTTTGTCTCCTTCTCGATACTATGCTCCACAGTAACTGTAGTTTAGCCTCCTGCTCGATGTCCTACAGTAGCTGTAGTTTCACTCCCTGCTCGATGTCCTACAGTAACTGTCGTTTCACTTCTGGCTCCTTGTCATACAGTAGCTGCAGCTTCACTTCTTGCTCCTTGTCCTACAGTAGCTGCAGTTTCACTTCTTGCTCCTTGTCCTACAGTAACTGTAGTTTCACCTCCTGCTCGATGTCCCACAGTAGCTGTAGTTTCAGTCCCTGCTCGATGTCCTACAGTAGCTGTAGTTTCACTTCCTGCTCGATGTCCTACAGTAGCTGCAGTTTCACCTCCTGCTCGATGTCCTACAGTAGCTGTAGTTTCACCTCCTGCTCGATGTCCCACAGTAGCTGTAGTTTCAGTCCCTGCTCGATGTCCTACAGTAGCTGCAGTTTCACTTCCTGCTCGATGTCCTACAGTAGCTGCAGTTTCACCTCCTGCTCGATGTCCTACAGTAGCTGTAGTTTCACCTCCTGCTCGATGTCCTACAGTAGCTGTAGTTTCACTTCCTGCTCGATGTCCTACAGTAGCTGCAGTTTCACCTCCTGCTCGATGTCCTACAGTAGCTGTAGTTTCACCTCCTGCTCGATGTCCTACAGCAGCTGCAGTTTCACCTCCTGCTCGATGTCCTACAGTAGCTGTAGTTTCACCTCCTGCTCGATGTCCTACAGTAGCTGCAGTTTCACTTCCTGCTCGATGTCCTACAGTAGCTGTAGTTTCACCTCCTGCTCGATGTCCTACAGTAGCTGCAGTTTCACTTCCTGCTCGATGTCCTACAGTAGCTGCAGTTTCACTTCCTGCTCGATGTCCTACAGTAGCTGCAGTTTCACCTCCTGCTCGATGTCCTACAGTAGCTGCAGTTTCACTTCCTGCTCGATGTCCTACAGTAGCTGCAGTTTCACTTCCTGCTCGATGTCCTACAGTAGCTGCAGTTTCACCTCCTGCTCGATGTCCCACAGTAGCTGCAGTTTCACTTCCTGCTCGATGTCCTACAGTAGCTGCAGTTTCACTCCCTGCTCGATGTCCTACAGTGGCTGTAGTTTCACTTCCTGCTCGATGTCCCACTGTAGCTGCAGTTTCACTTCCTGCTCGATGTCCTTCAGCAGCTGCAGTTTCACTCCCTGCTCGATGTCCTACAGTAGCTGCAGTTTCATTTCCTGCTCGATGTCCCACAGTAGCTGCAGTTTCACTCCCTGCTCGATGTCCTACAGTAGCTGCAGTTTCACTTCCTGCTCGATGTCCTACAGTAGCTGCAGTTTTGGACCTGTGGAACCATACTGTCTACTGATTTTGGGTTTACGCCGCTTTTAGCAAAATATTTGGGGGATTCAGAGCAACTGAGCTTCAAGTAGTTCCCATTTGGGAATCGAACCCGGGCATTCGGCATGACGAGCGAACGATTTTACCACTAAGCTAACCAACCGCCTTCTTAATAATGAAATTGTTGGCTCCAAATAAAGAGATCGTGTACACAAAATGGAGTCTAGTCATCCTAATGTCAGTTCCAAAATATAGCTGGATCAGTTAGTCTAGGCGTCCCACTTCTCAATAACCCATTTCTATGATAATTCTAAATTCCTATTCACATATTCACGAACGAATATATACAGCTTACAAAACTAATCATTTCGTCTTAATATATCCCAAGACAAAACTCTTTTATCTTCGATAGGCATAGGGAATAATTTGTCTTGCGAGAATAATAAATTCATCTTTGTAATTAGCTCACAGCAGAATGGGGGACATAAATATCTGAGAACAGCATGGGGTCAGGGCGCCGGGACATGTAAGTATCTAGCAGTTGTGTGTAATCCTGTGGGATGGATGGCGCTGTGTCATCTTGGTTTATAAACTTTTTGTAAGAATTATGTTGATTGTTAAGCGCAAGAACTTTGAGTCTTTACATCTGCCTGTGATATATAGCAGTGTTTTTGTTTGCTGTGAGGTGGAGTCGAGGCAAGACAAACAAGCATATAACTACTACTACTACTACTACTACTACTACTACTACTACTACTACTACTACTACTACTACTACTACTACTACAGATTCGAAGACTTCACAAAAGAATAATGTATTATTACTACTACTCCTTTTAGTTTTACTATAACTACTACTACTACCACTCCTATTAAGACTACTACTACTGCTACTGCTGCTGCCACTACTACTACTACTACTCCTACTGCAGATTCGAAAGCTTCACAAAAGAATAATCTATTATTACTACTGCTACTTCTACTTTGAATTTTACTATAACTACTACTACTACCACTACCACCACTACTACTACTACTACTACTACTACTACTACTACTACTACTACTGCTACTGCTGCTGCTGCTGTTACTACTACTACTTCTACTACTTTAAGTTCTACTATTACTACTACCACTACTACTGCTACTACTACCACTCCTATTACGACGCCTACTACCACTACAACCATCATCAATACTACCAGAGTTGTGTTTCGCCTGCTACTAATATCTGATCCTATATTCAAACCTGAATACCAGCTACAATCGGCTTGTGGGGGACAAGGAGTATCTGATGTATGTTAAGAGGTCTTATGACAACATTGAACCATCTGTACGCCTTGACATAGTCTTCCGGCGTCGGCGAGGAGAGAGGCCTGAGAAACACTTCTCCTGGGACCACGTGACTAGACCAGATGTCTCAAATAGAGCCTCACCTGGAAGCAGACTGCAGAATCGACGTCCGCGACAGCTTTCTGCGTCACTACAGACTCCGTACGCGTCTTACTTCCCCCGTGACGACGTGGGGAGATCGGTCGTGATTACGTTTGTGCATGTTTCAAAGCTCACCAAGTAGTTTCAGAATTCCATGTAACTTTTTGAGCAATTGCGTTTTTACTCTAGGGTTTCTATTTTAATTGGGTTATTACATTTTTCATATGGCAACCAATATGTTTGCACTCATCTATTCATCACTCTTTTGGTCTTTTTTCCCAAAAGAGTGAACATTTTAAGATTTAAAAAAAAAATGAAAAAATTGCTTTAGATGCATATAACCATGATAACTGTTCTAACAATATAGGCTTGACTCGGAAAGTAAATTGTAAGTTTCGGAAATTAGCCTCTTTGTACGCATGCTGAAAAATATTAATTGGGTATGTACGCGTGCTGTTATACTTTTAAGTTTTTCATTTAATGCATGCTTTTCTGTACACAATGTAATTGAAAGTAATTCGGTTTTGAATATTTTGGGGGTATTTTACGCAAATACGCTGCTTATCTGTAGCTCTGTTAGTTTTGAACTGATGAACTGTGATAGATACGCTACCATACCTTCATGCTAAGCCTGTTTCGAATGTTGCGAGGCCAAATATAATCATCCAGTCAAATTACGTTCATCGGTAATGCTGTGATAGGTGAGTGTGTGAGAATGGTTAGAATGGTTGCTAAATGTTTAGCAATATTTCACCAACATCACACCGAGGGACACCAGAAGGGGACTTCCCCCATTGTTCCCCATCTTCCTGAGGCAAGAGCGTCCACTAGCCTTTTATCAAAGTCTTGTTTCCACCCTTGCCACATCAAGCCCACTTTCCTGAGCTAAGATGATTGGACTATCTCACATATCGATAGTCCAATCAGAGAATGTTTCACAAAATCAACATCCACGACTAGTACACCTCTGTCTGAAAGTGATTTACCGCTGCCTGTCTTTGTTGACACGAATATGTCATCTTTAAACCCCTCCAAACGATTGCCTATTTTTTTGTGTCAGGGATGAAATCGCGAATGTGTACGTTATCTGATCGACTGGGTCCTCTCTTATGGTCGTCGCCATCTTTGTGAAGCTGTACGAGATACGAACAGCGATTTGATTGGATGTCGCGTTTTCATTACAAGGGGCACAACTCTTGATCTACGCGAGGCGGCGCTAGAGTCGAGCCAGGAAAGTGGCCTTGATGTGGCAAGGGTAGAAACTAGGCTTTGATATAGGCTAGTGGACACGCTTGCCTCGGGAAAATTATTGCAGCCATGTAGGGAATCGAACCCGACTTGACGAGCGAACCTTTTAACCACTTGGCTACCCCCATCCCTCCGTGCTAGGTGAGTGAAAAGCGAGATGGAGACAGTGACGCCACTTCTGAAGTAAAGCTATGGTGGTGACTGGGTCCTGGGCCACTTGCACAAAGCGATCTTAGCGCTAAGATGATCGTAACTCCCAAACTTTAACATTGACTTACAATAGTCGTAGCACTAAGATCGCATTGTGCAAGTGGGCCCAGGTGTTTATCATACTTGAATTGGGGTATTATAACCTGTATCGTCGAGGATGGAAGCTACCATTACGCACACCACATATCGAGACACAGACTACCGAGAAACGTACAAGCAACTGTAAGATGTGTGTCACACAGTTTTTACTCGTGTTCCAAAAGATAAAAGCAACAAAACCCTTTCCATGATCAGAAGAAATCTTTGCTAAGAACAGAGTCCATTTACGATTCCGACTATTTCATAAGCACGTGTTTATGAATCACTATCAGATGGTGATAACAAAAGGTGTTCGCGAAAAGGTGACCGTATCCTGCTCCACCGGTGGAACCCGTCACAAACACATGGAAAGGCAAGTCAATTATTCACCTAAAAAATCAGGAACATATGGTACAAGTCAAAAAAGGGAATTGCTTCGGACATCATATTTGTTACTGCCGCTTCAAATTTGGAAATGTCCTCCACATGTCTACCATAACACTTTTTAAAAGCTTTCCTGAGGCCTTGAATAGTGTAACCCTGACCTCACAAGAGTCATTTTACGCACTTTGAAATCTTCGTAGAAAGAACATGTTCCATTGTACGTCAAACGTTCTGAAATGTAGACACCAAAGGCGAGAGCTACTGTAATATCACTCTTATTGACAGGCTGAGGAATAAAATGTAACTCTTCCGTTTATTACAGGTGATACATGTGTATTGTTTTGCGACGGAATACAACGGAATCATAAAGAAATTATAACAGATTGCATGGGAATAAAAGCGACGAAAATATTTCTATAAACATAATAGTCCATTATGAATAATCCATGTGTTTATGAATTACTATTAAATAGTTGTTATACCAAGTGTTCATAAAAAAAGAGAGCGTATCCTGCCACACCGGTGGCAACTGTCACAAACACATGCAAAGACAAGTCAATTGTTCACCTGAAAAAAATACATGGGAACATATGGTACTGGAAAATAGGAATTGCATCGGACATCAGTTTAGCACTGTCCTCAACGTGTCTAACATAAAACGTTTTGCAAGCTAAACTCAGGCCTTGAATGTTGTAACCTTGATCGAACAGATTCTGAACAAGAGTCTCGTGATGCTCTTTGAAATCTTCGTTGAAAGAGAATGCTCGATTATTCGTTAGAGGTTGTGAAATGCTTTGCAAAAACTTCTAACCAAACTTTGCACATCGATTTGTTGAATCATACCTCATTTAACCGGACAAAATACACTGTCAAAATCCTTATAATTAAATTCCACAATGAAAACAAGTGTTGTCAACAATAATTTAATCAAAAACAATCTATAAATCAAAGCAGACAAATTCGACGAGATTGATAAACATTCTAGATGTTTGAATACATGCTGTAGCGTGACATGAATCAAAAGTGATCAATTTATGCACACAACTTGACACGCCCACAAAGTCACTAGCCAATCAGTGGAGAGTAACATCAAACAAAGTTCATAAGACCTGTCATTCAAGACAAGGGACGAGAAGTAGAACTTGAACGAATCAGAACAAATAGATCAGGTTGGTTTCAAATGACAAGAGCACTAACCGTCATATTCAAACATTCCAGGGGAGACATTGTTGCAAAAATACGAGTTATTTATGAAACTTGAAAGCATGAAATTTGTGAAATTGAGATTGTACGATGCCGTTGTATCTGCAGTGAGTGAGGAAGACGGCGGTATTGTTTTGTTGTTGATATGTTTGATACCAAAAAATATACCGAAATGTTACTAGGCATGATGATACAGGAGAGCAGAAAGGGAATTCCGGCGACTGTAATTGGGATTCCTCGACATTCCGTTGTGATAAAAGTAGTCCGCTTTGTTGTCAAATGAATCTAATAACACGTGACCATTTCAGCTAATCAGAATGCAGGAAAGACAATGAACACACACTTGAACACCTGGAAGTTTCATTTGAAATTTAAGACGTTAGCAAACCCTAAAAGATCCGAAACATAGCTATGATTTAATGTCTTTTAGCAACGTTTTTCAAGCAATAAGATTGCAGCACATAGTCCAATTCATTCTACCATTCCCTCGCGGGGTATCCGGGTGAGACTATAGGTCCCAAGTAACCTATGCTTGTAAGAGATGACTGAATGGCCCGGGGTGTCACATCACTGTATCCCAGTTTACAACACTCGCTCACTCACTCACTCACTCCGCCACTCACCCAACCACTCACACACTCACTCCGTCACCCAAACTCACTCACTCACTCAAAACCCACCAAGCCACTCACTCACTCACCCACTCACCCACTCACTCACTCACTCACTCACTCACTCACTCACTCACTCACCCACCCACCCACCCACCCACTCACTAACTCACTCACTCACTCACTCACTCACTCACCCACCCACCCACCCACTCACCCACTCACCCACTCGACCACTCACTCACTCACTCACTCACTCACTCACTCACCTTCATCAAAATGACGCACCGTTATAACTGAAACCCTACAGCATAAAACACAACTCACGGAGCAGGTTCCACCGCTTTCTCATTCTGCGTTACAAACCACTGATAATTGATGTCACATCGCCATATAGAAATCCACCTCTCAAATTCACTTCGGAAATTGTTAAACCATATTGTCCCGCGGCTTGTGAGCGCGGAACTCAATCCTATTGTTCATTGGCTGAAACGGTACTCTCATCAGCTCTCCATGCTCGCAATCTGTTTGGCTGATTCTACTGCGAAGCCGCCAAGGAGATCTGCCTTATAATGATACATCGATTTGAGCTGAAGAATTATTGAATTCAGTGATGCGGAGTCCTCATCACAGATATTACATAACTAATTCTCTCCGCGTGATATAGTCCATTAGCCGTAGCACGGTGTAATGTTCCGCGTGTACGTACATCAACACGAATGAGCAAAAGCTTCACGCCACTTCTCTCCATTTCACTTCAGGCATTAACGATAAGTCCATTTCTAATGCTGAAAGGTCATATGTCATAAGTGTCCTATTAATGGTTTACAGTTCGAACAATATTAGTACTCTAAATTTTATTTTCTTAGTACTATTTTGAAGGAGTTATCATCCCCCCAAGCATCTTCAGTACCAGTCAAATAAAAACTCACTCACTCACTCACTCACTCACTCACTCACTCACTCGCCCACTCACTCACTCTATTTTATAGTGATTCCTTAACACAATCTCATAATATAGTCGGAATTGTACTAAGGACCTTTTGCTGAGATTTCTTATGGTCCTTGAAATGTTGTTTTGTTTGGTGAGGTGAAATTGGGTTTAACGTCGCGTCCAAGATTATTGCACTTATATAGCGACGTGTATTTTGTTTGGCTTTTATTTAAATCAGTTATTGTATACATGGTATCAAAGTCGTACGTTGCCTGTACTCGGAGTAATATGAACGTTCCAAACTCTCAATGCATATTGAAGGATGAATTGTTTTCGAAAAACTGACGGAGAGTGAGTAATACTCGCACACCTCAAAAGTAGGGCGGTTTGAAAGCAGTGTGAAGAAATAGAATGTCAGCTTCATATGGAAGTATTTAAGCTTAAGGGGCAGTGGGGAAACATAGTAGTTAAAGTGTCCGCTCGTCACGCCGGAGGCCCGGGTTCGATTCCCTAGATGGGTACAATGTGTGAAGCCAGTTTCTGGTGTCCCCCGCCGTAATATTGCAGAAATATTACTAAAAGCGGCGTAAAACCATACTCACTCACTGGAAGTATTTCAGTTTTTTACAGCGTTTTTTAGAGGGGTGGGCTAATAACGGTTGTTTTAGATAACAATTTTCCATCCACATCACAGCTACCCGAAATCTATCGATTCGCGACCAGACAATCCAGTGGACGATAGCATGAACAAGGCCGGACGCCATCAGTGAACAATAATGTATAATCGCACATTGAAGCAATCATATCTACACCGTCAACCGTGGGATTTAAGCGGCCCCGAAATCCCCATTAGGGTGACAATCTTTCTTTGGTCAGGGCCCTTTAGTTACGGGAAGCACTGACGGACAATCGCATCTGGCATCTGATGGGGTTTCGACGAGTTTCATGGATGTAATACCCAATCATCCGTAAGTAAATGGATTTAAAGGATTCCAGAAAGTTGACCATTGCAACCCCCACAGCATATCATTTTGTAAACTTGATATTTGCATATTCCTTTTTAAAACGTCTTCATGATCATCCTCACCCCATCCCAACAACGGTACAGTTTGGGTGTTCTAAAAAGTGCTTCTGTGCTAAGATTCTGATCCCGCAGCAAACAAGCACATATAGGTTTTGACCGTTAGTGCATAATGGCGAGTGATGCATGCTGGGAAAAGTATGGTATACTCTAAGCGACATTCTCGCGATCTCGACGTTTGGAAACAAAGAAAGTGTGCAACATGCTCGAGATTCTGCCAAATCTTGCGTTTTCGTGTGTTTGCGCATTTAGCTTGTTTCTAAAGATCAAGCTGGCGAGAAGGCGAAATGTCGAAAAGGCGAGAATGTCGATTACAGCGTTCCATAGAGGATACACCCGCATGATTGATTCACTAAAACTCAAAAGTTGATGACTGGCAGGTGATTGCGATAATTTCTCGAAAAAACATTGGGTTATTTGGCTATTAGCAGGTCGTTAAGGTAATAATGACTAAATGCCGAGTTCCGGTACTACACAGAGGTAGAGCATAATTAAAGTTTCGTAGATCCACAGCCTGGTTCCCTGGGTATGCTGCGCTGGCGCAGAGCAAGCGCAGCATACCTAGGGGACCAGGCTGTGTAGACCCAGTGACTGTCTTTTCAAATACGAAATTTATTTGAATATAGTTTTTCACCAAAAACCTGCAGCGAAAAAAATCATTTTCCATTGACATTCATCGAAAGTGATTGATTTTAAAGCGTTGTTTCCAAACTCGCATTCGGCCAAAAAAAAATAGCGTTTATTCCGAATATTTCAAAATATATAAAGCTTGAATATTTCCCAAATATTTTTTTTCTAAACAAGAATACCTTGTTTCAAAAGTTTGGTAATAGAGGATCAAGACATCACACGGATTATCCACAAGGCACAATCCACAAGACAACGCAATCCGGCGCAATCCACATCCCGAAATATACCTTGAAACTTTGGAAAGTCATTCGATGTTATGAACTAGATGTCACTCCAGAAATAGATTGGTTTCACAGTGACCCATATTTCAGCTAAATCACAGCGTGTCACCTTGATGTCGGAGGAAAGCCCAAAGTGATGCAGGTCTTTGACATTTACCACTTTGGTGAAACCCACGAGCACGGGTATGGTGTTGATAAACCTTGAAACACAACCAAGGCGATCCGGGATTCGAACCTACAATCATGACTTAATACACACCTAAAGGACTCTGACTTGCAGTAAGTTGTGCCCTTGAGTCGACATAGCCAACCACTTCTTGTGTGTAATGAACGTTCATTCGATGCCATTTCCAACCTTTGAAATCATCACAGCTATTTCTACCGACGTTGGTCGTGTTACCTTTAAACAAACTCACAGTGAGCCACACAATTAAATCCAAGGACAATGTAAAAAATCGCGTTGAATTAAATAGGGACTGTCCGTGTCCTTAGGCGATAACGAAAGGGCGCCATGAAATCAGTATAACACCAGGTCTAGACACGTCTCGTGGGAAAAGCAGCAGACCTCTTAACCAGACGGAGCCTGGCAGATGATATGTTATTGTGTTTTAATCTCTTTCAGAGCGGTTTAAAGACAATTGATGATGTAAGTATCGCGACCAAATTAGCCACAAGGCCATGTGTGAGGAGGCCTTGATGTAAGCTGAACCAGTGAGTCCTCGAGAAGGCCTTTATCTGTGTCGAAATTGTTTCCCCGAGAGCGTTCAGGTACAAGTCCCCATCCTCCTCAGCTTCACACATTGTACCCATGTCGGGAATTGAACCCGGGTCTTCGGCGTGACGAGCGAACGCTTTAACCACCAGGCTACCCACCGCCCCTTAGGTGGACTGATGTTCACTTGGTGTAAATAAGTATTTTTATTATTTGCGGATAGTTGCTAAGGCATAAGGTTGACTAAAGTTGAGAGACTTCTTATGATTAAGGAAAGGGATTGGTTGCCTTTAGTTATAGGTTGAACTATTATTTTGTAGATTATTTTTATATGACTTCCTGAAAAACATCCTGATGTTTTACGTTTATTCAAAATTTGTGTATGTTATTAACAGACAAGCCTCCAGCAGTTTATAGTGGAGTGAGTGAGCAAGGTTTTATTAAGATGTCAGCAACACTCCACCAATACAACGAAGAAGGCAAGGATGGGCCACGCGCAATGTACCAATGTCGGGAAACGAACCTGGGTCATCAGCGTGACGAACGAACCCTTTACCCATTGGGCTACACTACAGCCTATTTCTTTCATGACTACGGATCATGTACCTATGAGAAATGAGGACGTCTAGATTATACAAAACTGTTGAATTTCTCGCAACCGGAGTAAATGCCAGTTTAACGTCATTTTCTGACGTCAAGGAAAACACAGTATGCTTGATTCCAGCCAAGGGATCATCATTCGATATCTTAATAACCGACTATTTAACTATTTCGCATTGTGTTGGGATTACTGGACCATAAAATAACATCTCAAAATGAGATGAAGCTCCGGTATTCTATGTCCTAATCTGAAGTAAGTGTCCCATTGTTTCCCCGGAGTCTGGGAGTAAGGTAACGCTGGTCCCCGAGCAGTCGCTGAAACCCCAATTAATCTTCCAGTTTATGCCAAATCAGATGGACATATCAACTTCCACGTTATGTTCAGGCACGAACTTCTATTACATGTCTACTATTTCCTGAACGGTTGTGTGATTCTCCTCTAGCGGATTACTGACGTCTCTGTGAGCGTGGTACTGGGAGGCTTCAGCACTTTTAGAACAAGAACTGGCATTGAGCATCTGATCATGACACCCAGGGTGGACGACAGGGGTGGTATGAATGTACCAGAATACAAAACATGAATATAGTGTCTGGGATTGAATACGAATGACATGACATATTTGTGTTTGTTGCAGGGGACGACTGCGTGAGACGTTGCTCATAGTATCACTCACAGGTTTGTTTGCCGAGTCGATTATTCACAGATTGGCGTGGTGTAGCTGGAATATTGCTGAGGCTTGCAACAACAAGAAAACAAACGAACAAAGCAAATACGCCATGCTTAGGGGTCCTTTTCACACCATGGGCCGGAATGCCTCTTTCTCATGTTGCCGTTTTAAACTCGTCATGCTAATAAAGGGCTCGCATATTGCGACTCTGCGTCGAGTGCCGACTCGTGTTTAACACGAGGCAGTTGGTACATCTTCTTTTGATTTGTTTGTTTGGTTGTTTGTTGTTTTACGCCGGATTCAGCAATATTACAGCTATATGAAGGAGGTCTGTAAATAATCGAGCCTGGGCCACGCAATCCAGTGATTGACATCATGAGCATCGATCTAGGCAATTGGGATGCGATGACATGTATCAACCAAGTCAGCGAACCTGACCACCCGAT